GGTGCCGAGCGCCCCGCGTACGGTGTCAGTGTCAACAGACTCCGCACGCAGGTTAGACTAATGTTGGGTGCTGCCTCCACCACAGCGGGTGTCGTCGTCATCAAGGTTGTGTTTGGTTGTCTCTAGGCGTTTCGAGCCCCAGAGTCACAGGAACGAGACCAATCATCGAATTTTCCAACGAATAATAAGGTTTTGGCTGTGTGACTTGGGCTTGGGTCGTAGCGTACAGTGCCGTTTGGGCAGGCCTTCACCAGCACCCACTGAAATGACTAAAATTCACTCTATGTAACAATATGCAAAGCTCTTAATTACGTTCGTGTGCATGTACGATCGGTTCTACAAATCACTTAGTTGAGAATGTAACAACTGTTAGACACAAACAAGTAAGTTATGTTGCAAAGAGTTATTTGCAGTGCCCACACCTCACTCCTTGTGCTCGCATGATCCGGCAGGCAAGCAGACAGCTCTTATGGCGCCTTAATGATCGTGTTGCACCTTCGTTGTTTGTTAATTTTTGCAGCTTTTTAGACTATTGAAGCGACGAGGGCTGGGCTGCACGTGATAAGGGGGGTGGGGGAGGCTTCGTAGGTTGGTCGAGGGAACTTTGTTGGGCGGCCATGGCCGCCCTGGCGCACTCCGTGTCCGTGTCGGTGTGTAGTGTAGTACGTACCGCGTCCGTCCTGTCCCGTCACGGTGCTGTCTCGGGTCCGTCACCTCGTCCCGGGCGGAGGCGGCAGGCGGTCACAGAAACAAATGGACGTCAGTGGTCGGGCAGCTTTGGACTCCCTCCCTCCTGCTTCTGAGAAAACAGCGGCAGCCGGAGCAGCTGCGGGGTCGGCGATCCCGGCGGGGGCAGGTGCTTCTTAGAAACATGAGTGATGGTGGGCGGCAGGGGGACGGAAGAGGGCGACGCTTTCAGCCGGTGGCCCTGGCCCGCTCGCGGCCCACCCCCGCCGCCCGCCTCCGGCCCGCCCCCGCTCTCGGCCCGCCTCTGCCCGCGCCGCCGCTGGGCACCAGAGCGCTCTCGTCTCCGCTGCGGGGCCGGGGCGCGACCGCCCCCGACCCGGGGGGAGCGCTAGCGGGGCCGCGCGAGGAACACTTGCCGCATCGGAGGACAGCGACGACGAGGTGGTGGTGGACGTCGTGGTAGTCCTGGCCGTCGTGGTCCTCGACTGCGAGTCGGAGAACTGTGACCCCAGGATGTCGCCGATCTGATTGAAGGCGGTCCGGGTCTCGTTGGCGGTCTGCGGAGAATGCGGAGAGAAAAAGAAACAGAAAAGTGGGAGAAAACACTGAGCAAGATGTGAGTGCTAACTCGTAAACTCCATCGCATGTGGCCTGTGGACATGAGCCCGTGCCGGGGGACCCTGAGATGAGCCCGTACGAACGAACAAACTTGTTCAAACTTGCGTATTAAAAAATGCGTGAGTCGAGCACGTACGCAGAACTCAGTAAGCTGTGAATTAAAATGTTCATAAGCTTTTAGTGTGCATATAGTTTTGCACAACGCGTCGTCATGCATAAGTTAAATGTAACTTAAAACTCTGTAAGTCTTGTGCATGAAGAATCGCATGCCTGTCGCGTATCCCCGCAGCCCGTAGGGCAACTGGGCGACTGCAAGTAAGCAAGTCAACAATCTTTTGTTATCCATCCGGAACATTCACGGAATTTTTGATCTCGTCATCAATACAATACCACGAGATTTTCTTGTCATAAATTTACAATCGCAGTTGTTAAGCTGTGCGTGCGTGGCAGGGTTCATATTTCGCGCGTCCTCCATCCCTAGTACTGGCGCGCGCGCGCTTCGGCTGCGCTGCGCGGAGGGCGCCCTGCGGGTAGGCAGCCCCCCGCGGGCTGCGCGCGCGCGTCTGCCGGCCGGCCTAGCCAGCGGGGCGTTACCTCGGAGATGAGCCGACGCAGCAGCGAGAAGGTGCTCTGCTTGGAGTAGCTGTTGGAGCTCTTGTACTGCCGCCGGCTGCGCGGAGGCTGCTGCTGCTGCTCCTGGCCGGAGGCAGGGCTGCTGCGCGGGGCCTTGCGGGAGGCGCCGGGGTACCGCAGCTCGCCCACGGGGACAGTGATGTCCTACACGAACATAGTAAGGAGTAAGAGCGTAAACTCGAACAGGATCTGGCACAGGGTTATGCAACTTAAGTCGCCCATCTGCTGGACACCCTAGATTTATAGTGTAGAAGAATTTAAAGTTGACAAGGCGGTTGACTAGACTAGGAGAATCGATTTTTAAAATTATTTTCATAGGTCTGCTCCCCCAAAGAGTCTTAAAATTAGTTTCAGCCCAACACTTATTGCGAACATACAAATTTCCGGTTCAATACCTGCTTGCCTGTAATAAGTAAAAGGCTTAAAATTTAGAAATTGCTTTGAGATCAGAAAGAAACAGTAGTGCTGCCACGTGGTTCTTCGGTCCGGTCGGCTCACCCTGGAGTAGCTCGGCGCCAGCACGCTGGAGGCGGCGCGGAATACCCTCCACTGCGGGTCGACGGGCACGGCCCACACCAGCACCAGCGCTCCCAGGCACAGCAGGCGTGCGCCGCCGGGCACGCCGCCAGGCGCCATCACTTCTGAAACAGTCAGGGCAAATTATCTCTTATTATTGCGCTGATTTTTTTCCACGGTAGTATTGTAGTGCTGCAAATTTTGTGGGCGGAACCGCGTCACGTCCCTCCGCAGCAGCCACATCAAAGCTTTACCCTACCCGACCGCGCCATTGACGGGCGGGGCAAGGCGAGGGGTGCCGAGCGCCCCGCGTACGGTGTCAGTGTCAACAGACTCCGCACGCAGGTTAGACTAATGTTGGGTGCTGCCTCCACCACAGCGGGTGTC